CCAACTCACTACTAGTAAAATAAGATAATGGATAGATAGTAATATAAGATAATATTACATACAGATACCCCATCCCATACAAGCAAATGGTTCCTTCCTAACTCGGGCTATTCTGCGAGCTATTTTATTTCGCTGCCGTAGCCGCTAGATGTCGCTATATCTGAAGCAGTCCCGATTGCTAGTGGATGATTAGTAATAAAGCATGAAAATAGGTGGCAGGAAATTCAGTTTACTTCTAGGTATACCACGCTGTTAGTTCGACTATCTCTTTTTTTTTATACTACTATGGTGGCAAATAGGCATGCGGCCCATCTAATGGTAAATGGTTACCGTAGCCTATGGACGCCTGAAACACCAGGGGTGTCAGGCACGTCCGACTATCTCTTTTCTGTAGTCTCGTGAGATAACCTCGGCAGGAAGTTCATTTCACAACCTAAGAGTTTCTGAAACCGCACTGTTTTCTGGTGATAAAAAATTAGAGATAAGTTCACCATTCCTCACTTTTTCTATAATTAAATTTATTTCAAAGTACGATAAAGAATATAAAAGAAATTGTTAGTCAAGTAACTATTATATTTATTTACTGTCAATCTTGCAGTTTGTATTCACAAGAACTCTTATTTATTTTATTTATTTATTCATGAACAATGTACATCTAAGAACCTAAAATTAAAAACCTTAAAAATATAATATAATAACTAAAATATATTATCAAAAATAGTCCCTTTAGGCAAAGCTCCGAAGATACTGGCAGCGTTCCCTCTTTGAATGGCTAGACTAATTCTTTGTCCGAGGTAGCTGCCAGCTCTTCGGTCTTCTGTGATGTCGACTAACCTTTTTGTTATTTCCTTGAATTGTATATATTTGAATGTTGATGTGATGGTTGATATATAATAGATTGATAAAATTAATAAATTTACATATTGTTATAAGAATGTCATTAATAACAAAAAAAAACGTCAATTGAGTACAGGCATTTCTCTATTACTTCATTTAAGATCCTTCGGTAACTTACCACGGTATCTTAAATATGTAATGATAAAATACATTTATTTAAAACAGCAACAAATAAGTTTTTGCTCGTTCCCCTTGCAATTAACGATTGAGTGGTAGAATAAAAAATATGACTACAATTTTTTTCGTTAACCAGACCCCAGACAAGAGGAACGACCTCTTGTCGTAAGTCTGACTGGTAAATGAGCGGTAGAATTAAAAAAGTATTATTCAAATTCAAATTCAATTCATTTTAGGCGCTTGTGAACGTCAAATTTTTTATATTATATTTTTAATTTTTACCCTACCGTCCAGTTCAGTATATAGATCCAATTGAGAAGAACTGGCAAGAAACACAATTGAATTACTTGAGGCCTCGGCGCAGTCGCGCTACGGCTGCCACCATATCAGCTGCTGTTGTAGCGTCCAGGTCCAAGACATGGAACTCAGAGGACTTGACCGGCCTGGTAACACTCACCACTTCTGCCGGGAGCACCTCAGAGAGTTTAACAGCGACGGCGTCTTTTTTTTATATGACTATTCAAAAGTATGTATATTAAGTTTATTTGAATAAATACTATTTCCAATTCTGTTCTAACATTCTATTTATCTATAATAATAATAATAATCTTTATTTACTGCTCACAAGGAAACTTACAATATTGAACAAAGTAACAAAAGTATGTACTTAACTTACAAGCCTTGAGAGAGTCTGGAATCTGAACTAAGTTGAAACCTGTACTACAGATCTCCAGGCTCTCTCCGAGGACTTACTGGTATTTAATAAATCTAACAGTTTTTGTCTATTTATCTATATCTGATTATCGCAAGACTTTAATTGCCTTTTTAACATAGAACATATACTATGTGGGATGCCGGCGGTAAATTAATTCCCCCAAATTTGAATTAATAAATGAATCTGTACTTTTATAAACATGTACAAGCTCATATGAAAAGAATAAGAGCTGAGTTTCTTGTTAGTTCTTCTCATCTCGAAATCACTCCGAACTGTCGGTGGAATTGACATATAATAAGAGTCTGTAATAGACCTACATGAATAAAAATATTTGGATATTTTTTATTACATACAATATGTAGTCACATCAAAATCATTAAGATTCAGCCGTTTAATCGTGAAGAGGCAACAAGAAGACAAGCTCTTCTTTATTTATAATATATATATGGATTATGATATAAAGAAATGAGCCGACAGCCTGGTTTACTGTCCCTATTCGTATTATTACTAAATATATAAATATATAATACTACATGTCGTTTTATAGATATAAGAGAACTAACTTTAAGACAGGCTAAGGAAACTGCAGAGACCTGGCTTCTAAAACTTAACTACTCGTAAACGGAGAACATTATTGAGTCACAAAACTAAGCATCCCCATTCTCACAAAATAAATAACTCCAAAGACATAAACAAACACATTTAAACGCACACACAGACACACACATACACACACACACAAACACACACACAGGTACACACGCACACACACACACTTAATCTTTATTTTAATTAATAAATTACCTTATAATCTAAATTTTATGTAGATACTGTATTAGAACTGACTGTCCTAAAATCAACTAAATAGGTAAACAGAGTCTGGCCCCTGCGATACAAGCTATGTTTAGTGCAGAGACCGTTGTAAATAAACACAACTGACCACTTTGTTTAACAGTCATAGGGTAAGTTAAGTTAAGATCTATATTTGTAAAGTTGTGTCTCATGTGAAGTGTCTTTTCTTGAAATAAATATTATTTTTTTTTTTTTATATTTCCGAAAGAAATCTCATCTCCCCTCTTAAGGAGAGGAGATGGCAACTTACTCCCGGCAGAAGCACAGTCGGCCGGGGTTCAGGGCCCCAGGGAGAGAAACCGGCGTACAATGCGGGCAGAATCTAAGAGCACCGTTATTATTATTTTCTTTTTTTTCCCAAAAATTCTATTTGTTATTATTATTATTACTGAAAATATAAACTATCTGACGGCATACCTAATGGTATGTGGAAATCGTGGGACCTGTGGGACCCTATAGAATAGAAAAGAAAATCATTTAATGAAATAAACTCAATTGAAGCACCTTAAACTAGTCATAGTTATAATCTTTTTAATCTACCGTTCATTCGGAAAGCTGTCTCATCACAAAATAGAGGAAGAAACTTGCGTGTCGCTCTTTTAAATAATTGTTGTAATTTTATATTTTTGAGTCGAAACGTGTGAATATAAACTACCAACTAGCACTAATTTATTAGAGTCAAATATTAAATACGCAATAAGATTAATTCAGTCGTAGTGATTAGAACCTATTTCTTGCTATTTCGAAGGTTTAAAATGTTCCTTTCAATGGCAACACAACCTACTAAGCAAGTGGCTTAAATAGGTGAAACAGATGGACCTATATAACAACTTTGCACAAGTTTAACCTCATAAATCCCACTCAGTTAATAAAATATGATTTTAGTTTGTATATTCTGTTAAAAAACTAATTAAAAAAAAATTTAATTACAGCTACAATATAACACAGCGCCATCTAGTCACAAACTAAACCAGTAATATGTGTACTTAACAAATGATGACATACTTAGATCAATATAACTCGATTACAAATGTTTGTATTGTGCTGAAATCGAACCCGCGATCATTGGAAAGTGTGGCAGTAGGTATTTAACCGACAGACCGTAGGTACAAATATTCGTACCGTGGTTTTTTATAACACTGTTATCCTAATTTTGTAACACAGATATGGAAGAATGAAGCAAGAATGTTGTACCCGATTATAAGAAATCTACATGAACGATGCAGTAGAAAAATAAAAAGAAAGAAAGAAAATTGTTTCTTTGATACACTGAATACTGTCAATTATAGTGAATAAACAATAATCCTGGATAATTCTTACAGTACCATCCACTCTCAAGTTAAACAGAGTTTGTGTGGGTATTAGACAATTGATATAAATACATTTTTTTTATAAATATATATTGAATACAACCAGATCGCTACAAACAATCATACTTATAATAATAATAATAAACTAATAATAATCTCAGGACAATTCACACAGCGCCATCTAGACCCAAATTAAGTTAGCTAAAGCTTGTGTTATGGGCACTAGATAACGGATACAATTAACATAGATACGTTTTTTTTTTCGTAAATACATACATATTATACATAGAAAACACTCAGACCGATACAAACAATCATACTCATATATACATGCGACATATCGAATCCGCGACTATCGGAAGTAAAGCGGTGTACTAAACTACTAGGCAATTGAGGCCATCATGTAGCTATATGACATGTTTTTAGTTTTATATATTACTACCTACCCGCCCTGGCTTTACACGAGTGTACATGTATTATACATATAAACATTCCTCTTGAATCACTCTATCTATTGCTAAAACTGCATTAAAATCCGTTACGTAGTTTAAAAGATCTAAACGAACACACATCGGAAGCGATTTCATTTATACTATATATAGATTTATATAATATATAGAACACTAGCTGTCCCGGCAAACGTTATTTTGCCTTAAAATAAAAAAAAAATAGAGGTGGACTACCCCTAACATTTAGGGGGATGAATAGATGTTGACCGATTCTCAGACCTACTCAATACGCTCACAAAATTTCATGAGAATCGGTCAAGCCGTTTCGGAGGAGTATGGGAACGAAAACTGTGACACGAGAATTTTATATATAAGATATATTTAGTTATTTAAAAAAAAACCTGTCAACGTATGCACATTTCTCTTATACACATCTTAAAGTTGCACATACGGTATACACACAAAAACCTATTTAATAATTTCAATAAATCATCGTATATTATAAACTTGTGCCCGAAACATAATCGTAAACGCAAAACGAGAATTAACTATACTGTTATCGGACCACTAGTACACAAAATCGATACACTAATTAATATTCAAGAGGCATCGTAGCGTTCGACCCAAATACCCGACCTATCTAACACTGAAAGTACTCACCGGAGAGTAATGAGCTTGTGAACGACTCGTCCTGGCACAGAACCGCCGGGAGGCTCGCCAGCAGGAGCAGGAGGCTCGCTCGTAACACTGTCATGGTTGCACTGTCAAACTGTCACTGCACAACTGTCAAGCTGTCACGGAACTGCCAGGCATGGCGCGTGCGATCGCCGCACCGCGTTTTACTCGACTGGTGAAAGAAAGGGATCGAGACGCGTGTACGCAGCTCAGCAAAGATTATGGAAGTAGAAAGTTCTTATATATTAATTTTTAAATTATATTCACTTCAGTTTTTGATATAATAATAATAATATTTTAAGTTACACAGCGTAATCTAGACCCAAGCGAAGGTACCTAATAAGGTTTTTTTTTTATGTTATATGCAATGTATCTCTATTTATATTGAGGATTACTATAATTGGCTAACATTAGTAAAATTGTAATTGTAAATTAGTAATATAAGCTGTTGTTATCCCGAAATAAATAAATAAAAAATAAAAAAAAGCAGAACTTCTGTTATGGGTACTAGACTAGGTACTAGACCCATAAATACATAATCATTTTTTTTAAGATATACATAGAAAACACCCAGAGCGATACAAACTCACTTATTTTGTAAAAACATATAGAGAACACCTAGACCGAAACAATCATTCTCTTGAATACAAATGTTTGTACCGTATGAGGAATCGAACCCGGGACCATCGGAATTAAGGTGGTGTGCTAAACCACTAGACCGTCGAGGCTGTCAAATCATTTTATATTACGATACTGGCAATAAAGCATATTGCCATCAAATTATAATAATTTTATTTCAAAATAATTTGTGCAAAACATTTATAAAATTCTGAGGTATAGAAATTATTTGTGTTTAGAAATAATTGAGAAATAGAAATAGAAAATCATTTATTCAAATAAACTTACATTGAAGCACTTTTGAATAGTCAGCACATTTTTTTTAATCTACCGCTCATTCGGAAAGCTGTCTCATCACAAGAAGAACGAGCAAGAAACTTGCGTGTTGCTCTTTTAAATAATTTTATTCTTACTTTACATTTTTAAGTTTAAGTGTGTGAATACAAACTACCAATTAGCACTAACTCAATTAGAAAAAATATTAAGTATACAACCAACTGGTTAAACAATTAATAAGAGGAAATCAGTCATAGTGATTAGAGCAGACCAGTCCGTACAAGCAGCACCCGTTCACGAGTATGACTTTCAGGAGACAGTGTCCTCTTCCATATTAAGGCGTACCTATGAGTGAATTAATTGATCAGGTCGTTTTTAACATGAATAGTCAAGTGTAATTGCAGGAAGCTTTGGGGAGTAGAAGAGATAGTTATGTAATAGGAGTCGTAAACGGTTACCGTAGCCTATGGACGTCTAATATATACCTAAAACTAGCTTTTGTCCGCGGCTTCGCTTGCGTTAATTTATCCCCTTTAGGGGTGGAATTTATCGAAATCCTTTCTTAGGGGATGCCTACGTCATAGTAGCTTTATGCAGTCTCAGCCCGATCGGTTTAAAATTGACAAAGTTTCATACAAACTTTCATCCCTTTTTTTGTCCTCTCGGGGGGTAGAATTAATCAAAATCCTTTCTTAGCGGATGCCTACGTCATAACATCTACCTGCATGCTAAATTTCAGCCCAATCCGTCCAGTGGGTTGAGCTGTGCGTTCATAGATCACTATGTCAGTCACGTTTGAGTTATATATATTTAGATTAGATATAAAAATCTTGTATAACAATGTTTGTTATTATGCTCCTTAGAAACTACTTGACCTATTTCTATGAGTTTTTGATATATATTAGTTAGCCCTGCTAATAGATCGTAGAGGTATAGATAGGTATAAATTGTATGGCAAAAAAAAGTTTAATAAATGAACTCAGTTCAGTAGCTTACTTTTCATATATTTTTTTAATATACATGATGATGGTAAATGGTAACCGTCGCTTATATACATAAACGGCACTCTAATCATCACGACATCGTGAGACGACTCATTATTATTGATAGTCTATTTTAATTATTAATGTTTAATATATATTTTAATTTTAGTTACAAGAGAAACTACGGTCGCTGATGGTAAAATACATATATTTCAAATTGACAATAAAAATCGAACGAAACATAAAATATTTAAATACATATATAAAAAAATATAATTATCATATAAAAAGGTACGTTATGCACAGTCTAATTCCTTATATATTGCTGATCTGGAAGACTAAAATTTCATCCCGCCTTAGAATTCCCTGCTACATCTCACCTTCAATTCATCTTGAACCACTTTACAGTCGTCTTTTCTCCCCCGACCATCACATCATCATGAGACGACCGTAATCTATGCTAATATTATAAAGCTGAAGAGTTTGTTTGTTTGTTTGAACGCACTAATCTCAGGAACTACTGGTTCGAATTGAAAAATTCTTTTTGTATTGGATAGTACATTTAGCGAAGAAGGCTCTAGACTATATAACATTACGCTACGACCAATAGGATCGAAGTAGCAGTGAAAAATGTTCCAAAAACGGGGGAAATTATTCATATTTGAGGACTTCCGTTGCGTGCACTGCGTAAACGATTCAAGTTACCCAAAAAATGTGTAAGAAATAATTATTCCTCTTTAAATGATCTAAAAAAAGTCCGCGACAGTATATGTCTATCTTTTAAGATTGACTCACTATATCCTTTGTAAATCTACTGTGCTTAACTAAGATTTCTTACCGTCTGACAATTTCCTGCTACATCGCATTTTCAAGTTATCTTGAGTCATTCTACAGTCCTCTATTCTCAAAGTCAATCTAAAGATTGAACACTTTTATCAAAGTTAGTCTAAAAATTGACTTTTAGAGAACTGTCTCGTCTGCGCAGCGGTTAATCTCTGCGCAGACCACTCGATCGGTAAATAGCTGCATGTTAAGATTCGATATAACAGCCTCGATTTATGAACGTGTGCGGAGATCGTTTAGCTTCCATCTACGTTGCAATACAATTATAAAAAAAAACAATAATGTACAGACGTGCAATAACCTTTCAACATATATATATATATATATCGTGTGATTTTCAAAGATGGTGTTAATAATTCTAGCAATTTAATAAATCAAAGACATCATTTTCTTTTAATACTATTATTGAACAATCCACACCATTTAGCCCCAAGCTAAGTAGGACTTGTGTTATGGGTAGTATACAAGTTAGATATTGAATTAAATTAAATTAATTTCTTACAGCCGCGTGGAATTTAACTTTAATTTTCTAAAATAAAAGTAGCCTAAGTTACTCCTTACTACATCACCTACCTGACAAAAAAGTCGTCGAAATCAGTCCAGCCATTTCAGAGATTAGCCGGAACAAACAGACCGACAGACAGACAGAAAATAATTATAAAAAATGTTAATTTGGTATATGTACCGTATATATATTCATATGCATGTAGTAAAAAACTGTTATTTCAATATTACAAACAGACACTCTAATTTTATTTATTTGTATAGATAATCCATACGGTGCTATTTAGTCCCAAACTAAGTAGAGCTTGTGTTATGGGTACTAGACAACTGTTAAGTATACTTAGATATATATTTTTGTAAATACATATATATTATATAATATTTTTTTTATTTATTTAAACTTTATTGAAATTTTATGCGATAGAGCGGGCTTAATGCTAATAGCATTCTCTACCAACCAGCCTTAGAGAGTGCAGAGATACTCGAAGGCGTTTATAGTAATACATAGAAAAAAACCCAGATTTCCTGGATGATGTTGAATATGATTGCTTATATTGAACAACCCTCTACCATGCCATTCCAACCTCTCGGTTATACTGGCCGAATCTACGGGGAATGCGCGCTGAAGAGCACGCATTCTCCTGATCTCTACAAATTATTTCTACTCCTGTCCCTTCTGTCGGACTCTCCCCCTTCTGGGGCAGCGGACGAAACATGAACGACTTCGGTGCCGGACAGCCTTCTTCAGCAGCGTCCTCAACTGTTGAACGCGTACCAACATTAGTCGTCCCGCTCCAGAGCCATCGATGCGCGAACTCCCCCAGCCTCTTATAATTCACCTCCGAGGACATAAAGTCCGGATAATATACCGGGACCATCTCCTTCACCTTCACCGCGACGTATCCCCTCCAGCAGCTTATATTGGACAGGCAATCATATCCATAAATACAAATGTTTATACCGTGCGAGCAATCGAACTTGCGACTATCCGAAGTAAAGCTGTGCTCTAAACAGCTACACCACCGAGACCGTCACATATATAGGTTTAAATAAATACATAAGAGTAATATAACATAAGTAATAACCCGTAGATATCTGTATTGGTTTTACTATTATTAAGTCATATCTATGTACTTAAATACATACTACATTATAAAACTGTTTGTATCCCAAATAAAATAAAAATAAATAGGTCTAGCAGTTTGCTATAACAACTTTCTACGAGAAATCCTTTTCCTCCTAGGAGACTGTTAGTAATAACAGAATAGAATAGAATAGAATAGAAAATCATTTATTCAAATGAACTTACATTGAAGCACTTTTGAATAGTCATTACATTTTTTTTATCTATCGCTCATTCATTAATACCATTGCTAGCAATTTACCATGTCAAGTTGATCTCCACATGGTTCCTCCTGGAAACCATCGTGATAAATTCGTGGTGAATTTACCACGATGGGCTAACTGACCTGACCTCGTACTCATCTTATCATCCTCCACTGGTGCACCGCCAGCGTATACCGTTAGCACAGACGGGTGCACCATTCCATTATCATCCATAAAAAAAACTGTCGATGTTTTTTTTTAAGTTAGTTATTTTCCATAGACTAAAGGTCCATGCCCTTTTTTGCACTTCTTTTTTTTCCTCGCTTTTCTTGCTCCGCGAAAATATGTATTGTGGCTTCCCGCAGTTTATCTTATATATGTTTTTTTTTTAATAGGTAATTTTTACTGTCGATGGTTTGAAAATAATAATTACATACAACTAATGCACTTCTTATTTACTCATATATTTAGAGCTCTATGTGAATATAAATAAGACTAAATTTGTCTGGCGTGTGAGTGACCGTGCTGAATCCTAAATAATTAGCGAACATGTTCTAAAACATGTTAGTTATATATACAGGATGTCCAAAAATGTGTTCAAGTACGACTATG